ACCTCTGTAAGGAGTGGGGGCCCTTACCCTCCTCTCCATGGCTCAGCATCTGGACGAGCAGGAGAGCGCAGGAAATACCATCAGCTTTAGGGCTGCTTGAATCATCGTAAAACCACGCCAGAGAAGTGAGAGCTGGAGCTCCAGAGCTCCAGCCAAGCCTCCTGGACCCCATTTCACGGCCTCCAGCTACAGCGGCTCCTTCATGTGGCTTTGGAGGGATCGGGGAGGCAGGCAGAGGATGGGACGGGACGGGACGGGATGGGATGGGACGGGATGGGATGGGACAAAGGTGAAGCAAAGCTCCCCAGCCCCAGGATTCTCCTCTTGCACCCTAAACAAGGGTGATGCCCACTTTTAGCAAGCGCTTGGCTATTGGTTTTGCTGTTGGTTTCCCAGGGCGCTGCTTTCCAGCAATCACTGCTGGCTGGCAGCTCCTGGAAAGCGCTGGCCCCAGGGAGCCCCGCTGCACTGAAGGGCCAGGTGGAGAGTGAGAGGCAAGAACCCAAGCTCTCATTCCCACTGCCGGGGTTTGAAAAGCACACACAGCCCTGGCTCGGGATGTGGAAGCAGCAGGCCCCTGGAAGTGGGGATAAAGAGAAAATGCCCTCCTTCATGCCAGGAGTTATCACATCAGGGATGGACCACCACCCCATAAACCTCGAGGCTGAACCCCAGGAGCATCCCTGAAGGCAGCATCCCCTCAGAACCCCTTCCCAGGTTTTCAGGCCCCTGCTCTTCCCAGCAAAGCCCCAGCCAAACCCGAGGGCCGTCCCGCAGCGGCTGTGTTTGCCTTAGTCTGCCTCACAAGCTGCTCATTTCCTTCCCCAGCCAGGAATAAAATCACACCATAAAACGCAGGCAATGTGTAACATAATGAATCCTTTCTCAGAAAGCCCATCACATCCACCCTCCAGCCCCTCTGCCCCTCACAGGATGCAGCCAGGGAGCAGGGGCTGAGGGTCCCGTTGGGCATCGCAGAGCCAGGGTTAGGATCTGGGAGGCTGAAACCCTGGGCCAGGGTCAGGATTAGGGAGACTGAAGCCTTGGGCCACCCACGGTGCAGGCAGGAGGGCTGGTCCTGCCCACCCTGCTTGCACTGGGAGCTTATGGACACGCTGAGCGGGGGACCAGGAGGTGTTCAAGCCGTCGTGCAGCATCCTCAGGGCTGGGTTGCTGTCGCTGAACCCCTCTGGTGTTTGCATGCCCCCCAGCCCCTCCATTATTTGCACAGCACAAACCCACTACCTTATAAAGTCATTCAAATAAAACGAACAAACCAAAACCAAACAACTCAGAAGGCCTCGAAGCGAGCTCCTGACACCGCAGAGGTGGAAAGCACCAGGCTGGCCATGGGACGCCCCGACAGCACCCAGTGCTGGCGATGGCTCAGCAACAGTGGGCACGCCGCGGGCACAGGGTCCGCTTTTTGGCACAGTTTGGCAGGCAGGAAGGCGGGCAGGGCTGCACCCATGGCCGCACAAGCCCGGGGCTGTTCGGGCAACAAGGAGCCTTCACTCCCCGGCTGTTTTTCCACCGGTGCGGTTGGGGTGGGAAGCGGCTGCAAAGACAGGGACACGTGTGTGTGCCTGGGGCTCGCCTGTAATTAAAGAGCTGCTTTAATGAATTCCAGGCCCCTCCCTGCAAACACCCACGGGCCACCAGCCCTGGCCCCCACCTGGCCCCTCCGCAGCCTGAATGGAGCCTTGTTGGGCAGCTCCCCCCTCCCCAGAACCGTGCCCCCTCCCTGCTCCGCTCCTCCCTGCTTGGCCTCAGCATCCTCCTGCGGGCAGAGCGACAGGGTCCCTGGAGCCCCCCTGGGACTCGTTAGTACTCCTCAAACACCAGTGCACCTCCTCATGCCCACCCCGAAACGCAGCCAGCTGGCCCACAGGGATGTCCCAAACCTGGGTAGGAGCCTGTGGGTGGGGAAGGCATCCATCCACTAGCTCACATTTCCCCCTACACACCCAGGCGACATCTCCCCACTCTGAAAAACCCTCACATCCAGCACCGGTTTGCTCTGTGACCCCTTGCGCAGAGCTGTGCAAGCACTTTCCCTCGCCTGAGCCAGGAGTTGGCTTCTCCGTCCTCCTATGTGCCAGGAAGGAGGTGGGAGAAAGTTGTGTGCTGAGATGTTAAAACATGGAGAAGAGCCCATAACGGCTGTGCTGAGCCTCAGAGCACCCCAGAAACCCCCCAGCCCAGAGCCCCCCAGGCAGACGGGGATCCCTTCCCCTCCACAGTGCTGCCCTGGGCTGCTGGACCCAGCTCACTTTGGGGTTGCAGTGCCAAAAAAACTCGCTGAACAACAAAGAAACAGCAACTGGAGAGGCCAAACCTGCTGTGTTTTTGACTGGAGGAGCACAGGGAGAGGGCCAAGGCGTCCCGGCCCCGGCGCGTGGCCGGCGGCTGGGGCTTACACGCAGCCCTTGCTTGTCAGCCGGCCCTGGGAGGATCCGAGCATGGCTGGGGCCTCGCTCCCAGCCTCTTGCTCAGAGCTTTTGGCTCAGCTCCTTGTTTTTGTCAATGAAAAAAAAGAATCCCAAAAGCCAAATGACACTGCAGGCTATAATCTGCTGGCTGCTGGCCGGCTGCTTGGAAACTGTGACAGAGGCCCCACTCGCGTCCTCAACGCCTCTCCATCGGCAGCGATTTCCTGTGGTACACAGAGAGTTGGGAATAGCGCTTATTTGTCGCCAGGGTGAGTGGGACAGCCGGGGTGCCCATCCCAACCCACTGCTCCCCGTGCTAGGGGAGAAAGAGCCAGCTTGGGCATCACCAGCCAGGGGCGAAGCTTGGTTTAGGGAACAACATGCAAGCGCCTCGATGGTGGTACACTTTAATCACCTGGGAAAGGTGCTTTCACACCCATCACAACCATCCACGGATGTGGCTGGGTACCCAGGGAGTTCTCCTTACTCTCTCCATGTGCACCAAATCAGAGCTGCTGTCTAAAGCAATCGATGGAGATGGTGCTCCCTGTGCCATGGAGGCTCCTCCAGAGCAAAACTAGCTTGGAAAAAAAATCAAAACACAAAAACCAAACCTAAAATCCAGCAAGCCATATTTTCTGCATCTTTTGCAACACAGAGGGCAAGGAAGAAGGGAGAAGGAGGTGAAAAGCTGCGAGGTGAAAAAGAAATGCCACAAGTTGAGCTGTGCTCGCACAGGCTGAGAAGAGCAGCCTTGAAATAAAGCAGGAATTTGGGAAGACAAATAGCAGTAACTCACAACACTCTTCTGCCAGAGAAAAATCCCAGCGGCTCCTGGAGCCAGACATGGGTCCCTCCTTCCTCTCCCAGCAAACAGCATCGCTCCCCTGGGCATAACTTTTTATGAGTGGTATTTTATAAGAGAAAGAGAAGAAAAGCATCTCTAGCAGCTTCAGGAGAACCAAGGCAGGACAAAATGTGCTGGCTGCAGGAGCTGCTGCCCCTTGGTGCACTGGAAAACAGGCTGGCTGCATTGGAGAGGCTCTTTCAGCCGCAAAACATGATCCCCAGCACCCATGGGACATGCTGCCCTGCCTCTGGGCTAGCAGAGGAGCTGCTGGTGGGTCTGGTCCTGGCAAATCTTTCCCTCCCCGTGAGAGCAGCCTCTCGGTGCTCATCTGAAGAGCATGTTTTTGGGATTAGGGGAAGCCACAAAACCAAGTGGTAGCAAAATGCTGGTGGGAGCTGGAGTGCACACGCATGGGGGAGCCTTACCAGGGACCAGCACATGGTGTACACATGATGCCTCCGGGGAGCACAATATATTGCATGCACATGTGTGCCTCAGTGAGACCTGAGCACGGCCGCCTGTGTCTGTGCAAGGAGGGAGAGGAAAATTCCCTTTTGCAATGTCCTGAACACTAAACGCTGGGATGAGGTGGTGCCAAGAGCCCCAGGCAGTGCCTGGCATGGCACCCACCACCCTTGGCCACTGGCTGGTTTTGCAAGGACCACTCGAAGGAGGGAGCAAGTCAGGGAGGACAGAGCCCTTCCCAGCCGTGCGAAGAATAGCAAAGCTCCTCTGAGTCACTGGTGGGGCTGGAGAGGACAAGGGAGCCAAAGTGCCCCATGCCAGCAGCAGGCACGAGGGCCAGGATGTGAGCAGGCTGGAGCGAGGCGCTGGCAGCCTTGCCCTGCCCTGCCTGAGCAAAGGGCTTGGTATTAAAACAAGCGCTGGATATTTCCATGCTGCCATTTCTTCCCTGCCCAGGGCAGGGGGGGTGACAGTTTGCAACACCAAATTTTGGAAAAAAACAGGAAAAAGGCAGCTGGAAGAGCATAAACGGGTATTTGCACCCAGACCTCACCATGCAGGTTTCATCCCAGCACCCGACCTCCATCTCTGCCTCCCCCAAAAGAGAGCAGAGGCTGGGCTGGGAAAAGCCAAAACATTATCCTCATTGTCCCATGGCACCTCAGCAAAATGCAAGTGACCACAAACCCAAGTGTGACTCTGATGACTGAAAATGCAATAGTGAAGTACAGCAGGCAAGCGCCCCGCATATAAACTCACACAGTGTAGGCTCTACAGACTGTGGCTACATATGGACTGAAAATGTAAATATTCACATCCCACCCCCTGACATATCCTCACAAATATTTACAGCTTATGGGTCTTCTGAGTGTTTATGCTTCAGCCTGAGAGTGCAGAGTTAACTTTGTGCTAACCAGGATGACAGGCACACACATTTAATGTGCGTGCAACACACAACGCATGCATTGAGCCAGCAAAAAAGCGTAAGTGCTCTAAAATTAAGCATTGCCACTCCCTGTGCTTTTCATTCTACCCTCTCCCGCCTATGCCCTGTGACACAGTCTTTCATTTCGTGACCACATGCCATTGCACTGAGTCCCTCCAGGGCTGATGTATACTGGGTGCTGAACGCCCGCCAGCTGCAGCTTCAGGAGCCCTGCTCAAGCCAAGTTTTCTCTATGGTCTCGCATCCACATAAGGGGAAGAGCATCAGCCGTCCATGAGGACAGGCTAGGGGGGCTCCAGATTCACAGCCAGGGCTGTGCCTGACCCTCTTTCTTCTCTCCCCAGCCTCCTTCTTTGGGGACAGCTACGTGGAGATGCCGCTGGCGGATGCCTCGCGGACCGTGCGGCTGCACCTGCAGTTCTACACCAGCCAGGGCAATGGGCTGCTCTTCCTTGCCGCTGGCCAGCCTGACCACCTCCTGCTCCAGCTGCGAGCCGGCAGCCTGCAGGTCAGCATCCCAATGGAGGCTATGGGGCAGCACCCAAAAGCAGCAGTCCATAGGGCCAGACAGAAGAAAGGAGAGCCAGGTTACTGAGACCACTGCCAGGGGACGTCAAGAGGAGGGTGGACAGAGTCTTGGGAGAACCAGTTAAATACAGAGAAACAGGGTGCAGCTGAGGAAGCTCCTCACCCACTGCCTGGGGTGATGCTGGGGAGACCTAGACACCAGCATCCCCTGTACACTGCATGGTCGGGCATAGTGCACAGCACCCTCGGGGTGTGAGGGGGTAGGGAAGAGAAAGGATGAGCCAAGAGGCTCCAGAGAAAGGAGAGGTTTCCATGAGCAGACTCCCCCCATCCCACCATGGGCCAAGCCCAACTGGAGCTTGGAATCACGACAGAAGAATAAAATTCCCTCTTGTGGTTTTGGTGTTGGCATCCACCGTGAAGGAAAGGAGCAGGGAGCACACACCCTGCCTCTCCTGCAGCCTGAGGTGAGCCACCAACCACATGTAAACCAAAGCAGAAGAGCAAGAGAACAGAGATAGAGGGCAGCAGGCAGGATGAGGCAGGGACAGAGGAGATAGCATCTGGCAGAGATCCTCTGTGGTGGGAAGCAGTGGGACAGTGGGATTGGGAGATGGAGGACCCCAAGGAAACAGCCCTGAGACTGAGGTTTGATGAGGGTTTCTCCTGTGCCTGACCTGAGCACTTCCCATGTCCTTCCCTGCAGGCCAGGCTGCGGCTGGGCTTGGAGGAGGTGATGCTGCAGTCCCCAGCAGGGCTGCAGCTCAACAACCTGGTGGTGCATGACGTGGAGCTGCTGGTGGAAGACAGCAGGATGATGCTGACCATCGATGGCCTCTTCAACAGCTCCACGGACATCTCAGGACCCATACGGGAGCTGGACATCCAGTACGGCCTCTACGCCGGTGGGACAGGCAGCCTTGACCTGCCGTACCTCTCCGAGGCCAGCTCGCCCTTCAGAGGTTGCCTCCATTTAGTGACATTCAATGGCCTGGATGTCCTCTCCCCCCCGTCCTCTGATGGCAGCTCCAAGATCTTCCACCAGGTCCAGGAAGGGTGCAGCACCCAGTTCTCTGCAGAGCCCGAGGACCCCTTTGGGTTCGTGGGGCCACACTCCTACATCGCGTTTCCCACGTGGGATGCAAGGGAGGAAGCAACAATCGAATTCGTGATAACGACAAGCATCACCCAGGCACCCCTCATCTACCACACAGGGCTGGAGAATGACTTCTTCTACCTGGAGATCTCCAATGGGCGCCTGAGAGGGTTTGTTGAGAAGGGGAACGGCATCATTGTCCTGCACAACAATGTCTTCATCAGCGATGAACAGCAGCACTATGTCAAAGTCTACATGAACACCCACAAGTTTGAGATCCTGATTGATTACTACGCCTCATCCACATCCAACCGGGGCATCAACAACTATCTGGACCTTCAGGGAAACCTCTTCATTGGAGGTATGAACGAAAAAGCTTTGCAAAGGCTGAGGGAGCACCATCTTGCTTTCATGTCAGCATGGACCATGACCAACAGCTCGTTTGTTGGCTGCTTGGAGGACCTGCGGATAAACCTGCAGAGGAGGAGTCTGCAAGATGCTGTGATCACGAAGGACATCACAGCAGGCTGTGGAAAGCAGGACCACTACTGGGACTATGAGGAGGTGTATGAGCAGGATGAAGCACCCACCTCCCCACCTCCAGATGTCTGGTTGGGAGCACCAGGGCTGGTGGTAGAACCATGCCAGCCAGACAACAGCTTCCCGCCCGCCTTCGCCAACATCAGCAGGCTGCTGCACGTCAGCCCCCTCATCGTCTCTGAGGGGGGCATGGCCTATCTGGAGTGGAAGCACGCCCAACCAACAGTAGACTTGAGCCTTGCAAACATCCGGCAGTCCCAAATCCTCTTTAGCATCACCAATGACCCAAGGCATGGCCAGCTGGAGCTAGACATTCCCGGATCCAGGAGCAGAAGGAAGTTCACCTTGTTGGACATTGTGAATCGGAAAGTCAGATACATCCACGATGGCTCCGAGGGGCCCATGGACCAGCTGATGCTGGAGGTGACAGTGACTGCCCAGCAAGGGGTCCCCGAGTGCTTACGGCAAGGGCAGATGTACCTGCTGCCCATCATGATCAACCCCATCAACGATGCCCCACAGGTGATCTTTCCCCACGGGAACCACATGACAGTCCTGAAGCACACGCGGAAGCACCTGACCACAGACATCCTGCAGGTCCTAGATGATGACACATCCTGTGATGACCTCGAATTCCAGCTGCACAGTGACCAGCATATAGAGGAGGGTTACGTGGAATATGACTTCCACCCTGGAGTGCCCATCGAAGAGTTCTCTTGCAGGGACCTGGAAGCAGGCAACATCATCTATGTGCACCAGAGTGGGACAAACTTACAGCTCACCTTGCAGGTGAGCGACGGCACAGTCCCAAGCCCCATTGCCACCTTGAGGATCCTCGCCATAGACCCTGACATCCGCCTGCACAACAACACCGGCCTCTCCATCTCCCAGGGAGGGGCTGCAAGCATTACCACGGCCAACCTGTCAGTGGAGACAAACGCTGAGAAACAACAGGTCGCCATTCTGTACATCTTCACGGAGCCTCTAAGGTATGGTGAGGTCCAGAAGCAAGGGAGCATGGGAGGAGAATGGAAAAAAGTTGAGTCCTTCCACCAGCAAGATCTGGAGCAAGGGCGCATCCAGTATTTCAGCACAGACCAGGAGCACCGGCTGGAAGACGTCACAGAGAAGCTGAGATTTGACGTCCAGGTGGGGCAGAAGGTCTTGCAAAACAACACCTTTCTCATAAGGATTAAAAGAGCCACCATTAAGATGAGGACCATGGTCCCTCTGCAGATGAAGAACAAGCGGCACAGAAATATCACTAGTAAGGAGCTGGAGGCAATGTTGGAGGATCCAAACTCTGCCCCAGGCCCCTTCCACTACGTGATCATCCAGGCTCCCAAAAAGGGAAACCTGGAGCTGCTTGGCAACAGGTTGACAGAAGGCTTTGGATTTACCCAAGATGACCTGCAAAGAAACCACCTGAGCTACACCGCAACCATCAGGAACTCTCAGCAAGCCGAGGACACCTTCCAGTTTCGTGTCCATGCTGGTGAGCAGCACTCCCCTGTCTACACCTACACAATCGGCATTGGTGGGGACCCTGATGCACCAGTTCTGACCAACATCCTCCTGACCGTGCCAGAAGGGGGCCAAGCCATCATCTCCAAGGACCACTTGTTTGTACAGAGCATGAACAGCATGGACTACCTCTACGAAGTGATTGAGGGGCCAGTACACGGGAGACTGGCCTGGGCTGCGTCCCATGGCTGGGCCTCCAGAGAGGAGATCATGGAGTTCACCAATGATGACATCCTCCACCGCCGGCTGCTGTACCAGCACGACGACTCCGAGACGCTGGAGGACGACATCCCCTTTGTAGCAATCAGGCAAGGCGAGGGCAGCACCGAGTCCGATGCGGAGGAGGTGAGAGGTGTTTTCAGGGTCTCCATCCAACCCGTCAATGACCACACCCCAGTGCAAGTAGTGAACAAGGTCTTCAATGTGGTGCGCAATGGGCAGCACCTGCTGACAACAGAGGACATCGCCTTCACTGACAAGGACTCTGGCTTCTCCGACACACAGCTGGTGTTGGTGAGGAAGGACATTTTGTTTGGCAGCATTGTATCTGTCGATGACAGAAGCCACCAGGTCTATCGGTTCACACAGGATGACCTGAGGAAGAAGAAGATCCTTTTTGTCCATTCAGGGGCTGACCGGGGCTGGATCCAGCTACAGGTCTCAGATGGCCTCCACCAAACCACAGCCCTCCTGGAAGTACAGGCATCAGACCCCTACATCAAAATAGTCAACAACACCGGTCTAGTCATCCACCAGGGGAGCCAAGGGAGCATTGACTCATCTGTCCTCAGCCTGGAGACCAACATGGACATCAGGTCAGATGAAGAGATACGGTTCCTGATAACAACCCCACCAAGGTGGGGAACTGTGCTGAGAGGGGAGCAGCCAGTCATGGCCTTCTCCCAAAGGGACCTGTTAGCAGGAGAGATCTCCTACCGCCACAACGGGAGCAGGAACATCAGAGATGAGCTTCAGTTCACTGTAGAAGCAAACGAGGTGGCAGTGGAGGACACACTGGCCATCAGTGTGTTCTTGGACACCCATCCCAGCCCCCTGCACCTAGTCAACCACAAAGAGATCCATGTCTTCCAGGGAGAAGCAGCTGGGATCAAGGAGGAGTACTTACTGGTGAGTATCCCCTTCTCTAGTCATTTCCCAAGCCTGGTCACCAAACCAGGACAGCTACCAGTAGGACTCCATTTTACTCCATCTGCCCAGAGCAAAGGACTAGTGCCCATGTCAGGCTTTGCCCAGGGGCAAGGGGAGGGTTCAGGCACAGCCTTGGCAAGACAGTGACTTGCAGCTCATCCCACAGCAAAGCCTTGGGGCACAGTGGCTGTGGGCCAGCCCAGCCTTGCAGGGACTAACGGCTCACTCGTGCCTTGTCTCCCCACACTCTCAGGTGACCCATGAAGAGATTCCTCCCCAAGACATAGTCTACCTGGTGAGCAGCCTGCCGACCTCCGGCTTCCTGGCCATGCTTCAGGACAGTCAAGACTCAAACGAGCAGCCCAGCCTGGACCCCATCCAGTCCTTCACCCAGGAGGACATCAACAACGGCAGAGTCCTCTACCTCCACTCCAAGCCAGAGGAGGAGCGTGACCGGTTTGTCGTGGACATCACAGCCAGCAGTGCGGACCCACTGGAGGGGGTGGTGGTGAGCCTAATTGTGCTCCCCATCGCCATCCCCCTGGATGTCCACAACATCACGGTGACAGGAGGCGGCTCTGCTACCCTCTCCACAGGCATCCTCAACATCCCCAACACCTACTTCACTGCTCTTGGTGTGGAGTTCAAGGTGCTCGAGCCTCCCCGGTTCGGCACCCTTCTAAACAGCAAGCACCCCGGGCACGGAGCTCTGCACAGCTTCACCTGGAGCCAGGTAGAGCAGACAAGGGTGCCCCCTTGCTCACCACACTGCTTTCAAAGGGGGTTTGGGAAGAGGCAGGGTTGGGCTTCAGGGCTCCTCACCCCATTGGAGATATTTGCCCTCAGGATAGAGGGGTTTGGAGTGGCAGATTTGGCACACATCAACCCCCAGGTTGTGCTTAAATGACCCTGAGGGTGCAGGGTGGGGATCCCACTCCCAGTCTTTGTGCTGCATCCATCCCGCAGGGTTGCCCCAGCACAAGTGGTAGGCGCTCAGATTGCTCCCCCTGCCAGGCTGGTGCCCAAGACCCCACCCCAGGGGGGCCAGCAGCCTGTGTCCCCCCAGGAGGGTCACCCAGCCCCTGCCCCGCAGGTGGAGAACCAGCAGATCCAGTACCGGCAGGACGGCCTGCGGACCCAGGCCG